ACTTCAGCAAGGCCACACCTACTTCAGCAAGGCCACACTCCTAATAGTGCCATTCCCTTTGGGGGCCATTTTCTTTCAAACCACCATATCTGCCATTGCCTGGAGTCATGGAGATCTCACGGCCATGGTTCCACAGGACCAGTCCCTTCATGCACTCTGGCAGGTCATGGATGGGGTAGATGCTGGGACCGCCCCCCTCAGGCAAGGGGCAGAACTAGCTCTTCCACACCCGTGGAGAGGGGTGGGACCAGCTTTCCTGGGTGTGAGGTCAGCTCTCCCAGGAGAGATGGGGCCAGTTCTTCTCTTACAGTGTTCAGCTAGGAGCAGGGCCAGCATAGGGTGGTCAGGCTGAGCATAGCCCTTGGAGTTCAACACACATGGGTCCTATGGTCCCTGTGGTATCTTGGGCCATAGAGATGAACACAGATCCCAGCTGCAGCAGGACCATGAACCTAGACATGGCCCTTGGCAGCAGCTTGGGCCAGGACATCACCATGGCCCTGGTGGAAGCACAGGCTACCCAGATCAGTCTGGCTTCAGCAGCAGCATGATCCTAGGACACCAACACGGTCTCAGGTGACTGACCAGACCCCAGGTATCTGCATGGGCCTTGGTTATAACAGGAGCCCTGGACATCACATCAGACCCTGGCTGCTGTAGGGCCATGGACACAGACATGGCCCTTGGCTGCATCTGGGCCTGGATGACATCATGGCCGTAGGTGTCAGCATAGACTACTCAGATCTGCATGGTCCCCAGGCCCAGCATGGCTCTTGGACACAAACGTGGACTCAGCTGGGCGTCCAGGTCCTGAGCATCTGCTTGGTCTTCGGTGGTAACTGCAGCCATGGACATCAACACAGACCCCAACTGCTTCAGGGCTACAGACCTAGACATGGCCCTTGGCAGCAACTCAGGCCTGGATGTAATCATGGCACTGGGTGGCAGTGCAGGCCACTCAGCTTGGCATGGCTCTGGCAGAGGCACAGCCCTGGCCTCAGGTGGCCACCCAGACCCAGACCTCAGGCATCCGTGTGGCCTTTGGTGGTAACATAGGCCATGGATGCCAACACAGACCCTGGCCGTGGTAGGACCACGGTCCCAGACATGGCCCTCAGCAGCAGCCCGACGTCACCATGGCTCCTGGTGGCAGTATGGGCTCCTCGGGTCTGCATGACATAGCCGGAGCATGGCTCTAGGGCACCAGCATGGCCTCAGGTGACGGGCCAAACCCCAAGTATATGGTGGTAGCAGGAGCCACAGACATCAACACAGACGCTGGCTGCAGTAGGGCCATGTGGTGATATTTTATTTGTGCTGAAATGTGGCGACATTTTATTTGTATGTTAACAAATAAAGTTTGCCTGGAGATCAGAGGAAGCAGCAAGCCATTTTAAGTAAACACAAAAGTCAGGCTGTGGTAGACAGGAAGTAGATCACATTTGGAAGCTGCAGAGTTGGTGAGGTAAGGTTGGCTGGTGGCTTTCCCTATTTCCCTGATCTCTAAGGCCTTCACCCCAATACCTGGCTCTGTGTTTTTCATTTATTTATTTATTTATTTATTTATTTATTTAT